TGGCTGTTTAATGTATATGTCTTCTTGAAGCTCACCATATAAAAATGCTGTACATACATCAAACTGGCTTAGACTTAAATTTTCACTGGCAGATAGACTCGAAACAAATCGTATTGTAGCAAATCTAGCAACTGGGCTAAATGTCTCATCATAATCTTGATATTTGTTCTATGAATTACCTTTTGCGACTAGTCTGACTTTGAATTTATCCATAGAGCCATCTGGATTGTATTTAAACTTGTACCGGGTGTCCAAATAAGAAAGGTCGCCGGCTATATCTCAGGAACTATTAGTCCTAGAGCTTCCAAGTAAAATTTTTTTCGATAAAATAGGCCATGAAAAATTGCTAGAAATAGTTTTTAAGTTTGTAAGTTGACCGCTAGGGTGAGCAACGAACACTCGAAAACATAATACTGTGATTATCTTCAAAAAACGCCCACTTAAGATATCCTAAAAATATGATTATTGAAATCTTGAGATTACGAAAAAATTTTATCAAGGATTTTTTGCTCTAGCCCTTCAAATAAGAGGTGGGAGATGGTTCAAACTTGTAAGGAACAAAAGTTAGATAGCTTTTTTTTGTTTTTCAACCGATTTCAATGAATCTGGTGTCATTTGGAACAGTTTTTTTTCTGTTTAATGAAATGCATAATAAAAATGACAAAATTAAATTGTTTTGTTGCCGCTAGAGGGCGCTGTGTCTAAAAGTCGACAATTTTCCATTTTTTCTCGGAAATTTCAAATATAATGATGCTTTTTTTATAATTTAGCTGGAAAGAGGATGAAAAAATAAGGAAACTGGTGAAAACCGCAAGTTTGAATCTTTATCCTAGCCCAAAATATAAATAAACAAATATTTTCAATAAAAACATTTTTAGAAAAAAAACATCTTGCCTTCCTTTTCGGGATGAAACAAAAAAAATCTCACTTTTTTACGGCGCTATAAAATTAGTAAGAAGAAGAACTAATTGTGTATCTGAAAGTAGCTACCAATCCACGATATCAAGAATTGAAATTGAATTGAACTATAGTTATTTAAATTCCAAGCTGCGAAAGCGCACTTTTAGGTGCGAGATGTATTTAATACCTCAGAACACCTAAATAGTTGTTTACATTCCGAGCTGCGAAAGCGTACTTTCAGATGCGAGGTATATTCAAATAGCCGAGGCGAAGCGAAGCGCAGCCTCGGCTATTTGAATACCTCCGAACACCTAACAGGACTATTGCAGCGTGTAATGTATTAAACTTTTCATCCTTTTCTCTCAAGAATCGCGAATAGGTATGCGAAAGTGAAACATGCTAGTAGTGGAAGTGAAAGTAATTATTAGCATGTTTCACTTTCGCTTTCGCTCGCTTATGCAAGATAAAAAAATCTACTTTTGTAGGGGGGAGAATGAAAAGAGCTTTTGTAGCTTGTAACGTATTAAACTTTTTATTGTTTTTCTCAGGAAAATTATAGATATTACATATCGAGGTGGAAAGTGTTTTATAACTATCGAAAGATTTTACAAAGGTTAAACCGAGGCGCAGCCGAGGTTTAGTCTTAGACTATGGTTTAATTAAAATCTCGAGACAGTAAGGAAACTTTTAACCAAGGTTGTATACTATTTTATTTACAATCATTCGAATTTTGTTATTTTTATTTCAATAAAAACTAAAAATATACAATAAATTTCAACAATTTCACTTATTTTCAGCCCACGGGAGAAAAGTAAACTTCCAACCCATGGATGAAAAGTAGAAATCAAAAAGTGACATTTTCAAAAGTCAGAAAAGTCAACCTTACATGTATGATTGTAAATGATAGTATATTACATGCGGAGGTGGAAAGTGTTTTATTATTGTCGAGAGATACTATGGTTGACCGAGGTCATCCAATTCTCGAGGCAATAATGTGAAAATGTTCCACTAAATTATGTAGGTATACTATTTTATTTTGGGCCATTAATTATTGGAAAAAATAGGGTAAAAATATGACAAAAATTGAAATTCGAATGACAGTCTGACACCGACATTGGCATCTTATGAAATTTCAACAATATAAACACATGTGACATCTGCTTCTAAATACAAACATTGCACCTGGATTTGTGTTAAGGTGAGATAGAACAATTTATCAGGGCCGGAAGTGAGTTCTCCAGGCCGAAACAGTCACTTCCGGCCTGCTTTAAAGTAAACAGAAGTGAAATGACATTTTCAAGTCTCCAAACCAGTAAGGAATGCATTAATTACATATATGGTTCAAAATAAAATGTTTTTTATCTTGAATAGTTTAGCGAAAGTGAAAGTAATGACTAGCTTGTTTGACTTTCGCGTTCGCTTGCCTAATCAAGATAAAAAAATGTTTTCCTGAGGAGAACAATGAATAGTTTGATACATTACACGCTGCAAAAGTCCTTTTAGGTGCTCGGAGGTATTCAAATAGCACCTAAAAGTAAGCTTTCGCAGTTTGAAATGTAAATATGTAACTATTTAGGTGTTCGGAGGTATTAAATACACCTCGCACCTAAAAGTAAGCTTTCGCAGCTTGGAATGTAAATAACTATAGTTCAATTCAATTTCAATTCTTGATATCGTGGATTGGAAGCTACTTTCAGACACACAATTAGTTCTTCTTCTTACTAATTTTATAGCGCCGTAAAAAAATAAGATTTTTTTTGTTTCATCCCGAAAAGGAATGCAAGATGCTTTTTTTTTCTGAAAGTGTTTTTATTGAAAAAATTTGTTTATTTATATTTTAGGCTAGAATAAAGATTCAGACTTGCGGTTTTCACCAGTTTTCTTATTTTTTTCATCCTCTTTCCATCTAAATTATAAAAAAAGCATCATTATATTTGAAATTTCCGAGAAAAAAATGGAAAATTGTCGACTTTTAGACACAGCGCCCCCTAGCGCCAGAAAACAATTTAATTTTGTCATTTTTATTATGCATTTCATTAAACAGAAAAAAAAACTCTTCCAAATGACACCAGATTCATTAGAATCGGTTAAAAAACAAAAAAGTTATATAAGTTTTGTTCCTGACAAGTTTGAACCTTCCCCCACCTCTTATTTGAAAAGTTAGAGCAAAAAATCCTTAGTAATTTTTTTTCGTAATCTCATCAAGATTTCAATAATCATTTTTTTAGGATACCTTAAGTGGGCGTTTTTTGAAGATAATCACAGTTTTATGTTCGAGTGTTCGTTGCGCCCCCTAGCGGTCAACTTACAAACTTGAAAACTATTTCCAGCAATTTTTCATGGCCTATTTTATAAAAAAAAAAATTACTTGGAAGCTCTAGGAGTAATAGTTCCTGAGGTATATCCGGCGACCTTTCTTATTTGGACACCCGGTATATCCATGTATTTGGTAGGTATAGCCTTCTTACCATTGGGTAGCTTTCGTAAAGTCCAAACACAGTTCTCCTCTAAAGACTTCGTTCCTCTTCCTTGATTTCTATCTCTTAGTTGTCCACTCGGTACATTTGGGACTTCTTTTGAAACGTCATTATCTGGTGATTCTACTAAGATAGAACGAGTATCAGAAAAACTATGATTCCCCAAACTATCATCTTCTTCACCGTCTTGTTTATTGTTTTTTTTTAGTTTCTTGTTCTAGAGTACCTTCCCTGCTTCTGACAATCTTACAATTGTTTTGCTGAGAAGTTTCAATAGGGTCTTCCAACGCTAGCAACGTTAAAGTTACGAGTTTTTTTTCGAATACTAGTTTTTCAAATTCTTCACACCAAATCCGATATCCATCATCTTGGTCATATCCTATAAGTATGCATTTCACTGCTTTTTTATCAATTTTCTTTCTTCCTGACTTCGGAACATGGGCATAACAGGATGTTCCAATAGTTCTCTTGTGTTTTAAAGAAGGCTCTTTCTCATACCACAGTTCAAATGGAGGTTTTTCCTTCGATACTAGAAATAGCAGTCCTATGTATGCCGATATATTTTTTATTTCAGCCCAAAAAAGTTGTGAAAGATCTTCCTTAGGATGCATGATCGATCTAGTAGTTTCACGATATTACGATTATCTCGCTCTGCATAACCGTTTTGCTCTGGTGTATAAGGCGTTACAAGTCTGTGTTTGATTCCACTTACTTGTAAAATTTTTCTTACGTGACCATTGTCTAAGAGTAGCTTTTTTACTGTATGTCCCACTGTTCTTATTTCGGGTAACATAATTGTCCGTTTTCCGCAACTTCAGATTTTTTTTTGTTCAGAAAGTAAACATAACGATAACGACTGAAATTATCCTTGAAGAGCACGAAGTATCTATAGCCACTTTTGAAATTTTCTAAAAGGCCTACAAACATCTGTGTGTAAGAATTCTCCTGGTACATTTGCTCTTTATGAGTACGACACTCTGTCATACGCCTTTTTAAAATATAAAAATAAATGACTGGTCTTAAGACTTCCATAGAGATGCAGAATGTTCTTCAACACCAAGTACCTTAGTACCTATAAATGAGGAGTAGAGTCCATACAATGAGACACGAAAAGTGTCCAAGTGATCTGTAATCCCATTGGTCGGCCAGTTATCCGCCAAGCAATAGAATTAGTGCAGATATTTACCAGCAAGTTTATCTGAAGATGAATAAACCAGGCCTAAATTTACTATTTGATATCCGAAGCCATTAAACAAAACTTCTTCCATTTCGATAAGTAAACAACGGGCGAATGGGGCCGACAGATAGAAATCTTTTCGTTTCTGCTATGTCTTTGCTATCTTTTAATTCGATCTCGTATGTATAAATTGACACAAACCGCCCCCCTTTAATCTAGTACGAAAGCAATTGTTTGCTAGGGAGAAAAAATATTTTGATTTAAGATAAGAATAAACATCAGACAAGGGAAAATTTATTTGAAAAATTAAGGTTAATAAGGGACGGGATAAAGAAGTAAGTAAGCAGCATAAGCGTTTTCGATACTCACTTTGGTGTTCAATAAGCCAGAATGAATATCAAAAAGAAAAACAAGCAAAAAATATAAAAAGCAAATTAAATGATTACCATAAGTGCGTACTGCTCTTCAAATGTCATGGACAAATATGGGAAGTAGGTGAAGGGGAGACTTTCATTTGGCTGATCCACCTCAAAAACCAACACATAATTAGTAAACCTATGCAAAACTAAAAATACAAGTGCACTAAAATGTTAATTGCTAAATTTGTAAAAATAATTAGTAGCCAAAAAAAAAAACCACAACAACAACAAAATCCAAAAGCATTCAGACACGAGCATAATTGAAACAATAACCTACTTACCACTGCTTGTACTTGTCCAGGAACTAGGGGTTGTCCAGGTGTAAGACCCATTTGTTGCATTAACGCGTTTTTGAGAGCCAAGTGATTCCTACCGTTGATCAACAGCTGATCTTTGAGGTGTTGTGGAGGATGAAAGTATTTGCAAGGCGGTTTTTCTCTATTACACCGGCCCTAAAACCAAAAAAAAAAAAATTTTTGATTTATATCCAAAATAAACCTGCATATAGGCACTGAATAAGCTATCCAGTTCATTTGCAGAATTGATTTTGCCAGGGATATTTGAATAGCAACATCTGGCAGAGAGGCGAAAGCGTCCGGTCCGGTATCGAACCAATTTCAACAAAATAAATATGGAAATGTTTCACTGCGGGTCAGTTATTAGTAAATAAAAGATAGATGAAAAAAAAAGTACACTTTTCATTAGTTTCAATGGAAATCCCGTAGAATATAAATTGGTTGAAAGCGAGGGCCATTATTTTTCTGCGCCGAACAACGTTATATTTAAAGTTTCCCTAAACTTTCCTAATATCATCACACTTCGAGCAGTAAATGTGTGTTCAGTGGAGGAAAGTTCCTAAGTTAACTTGGGCGTCATTTGTCAGGCTGTACAACATAAATCCGATACATGTCCGGAGTTCTGGGGGAGTTTAAGTCGGTTGCACGGAGTGTCGTCTTAAGGATGCGACGTTCCTTTTTACTATCATCAAGAGGGATTTCTTAATTATGATTAGTTTTTTAATAGGACGATAATGTTGGCAATACCAGATAATTTTCATAGAAACAGAAAGAAAGGTCATAGTTTTATTATTTTTTTTCTCTTTTTTTCCAGTAGAGGACTACAATCCCTGAAAAGTTCAGCTCATTTGGACTTATATTTCCAGAAATAAAATCGCGTTATACTTTATCAATTTTTCAATTTTTCTGAGTGACTTTTTTCATAGAATCCGGCTTCAAATCTCGGAATAATTTAGTGTATGGAGTTTGGAGGATCCCAAAGGACCATAAGGACACAAAATCTCAAGAAAAAAAAATTTGAAATTTCATCGTTTCAGTAAGAAGTTAGCTACCTTATGATTTAGATTTTAGAAAACTTTGGAAGGTTATAATTTTTTTTTTATTGAAGATAGAAAGCTGAAATTTGCAGCGATTCTTATCCCAGTAGAAGACTACAAGTCCCTGAAAGTTTCAGCCCATATGGACTTATAGTTCCAAAAATAAAATCGTGTTAAGCAATTTGGGGTGATTTATCAATTTTTCAATTTTGCCTTTTTTCATAGAAACTAGCTCCAAATCTCAGAAAAAATTAGTGTCTAGAGTTTGGAGGATCCCAGAGGACCATTGGGACACAAACTCTCAACAAAAAAAAGTTTGAAACCTCATCGTTTTAGTAAGAAGGTAGCTACCTACTTTATGATTTAGATTTTGGAAAACTTTGAAAGATCATACCTTTTTTTCTATTATAGATAGAAAGCTGATATTTTCAGCGATTCTTATCCCAGTAGAGGACTACAATCCCTAGGAATTTCAATTCATTTGGACTCATAGTTCCTAATTTTTCAATTTTTCTGAGTGCCTTTTTTCATAGAAACTAGCTCCAAATCTCAGAATAATTTAGTGTCTTGAGTTTGGGGGATCCCAAAGGACCATTGGGACACAAACTCTCAACAAAAAAAAAAATTGAAATTTCACCGTTTTGATAAGAAGACCTTCTGATTTAGATTTTGGAAAACTTTGAAAGGTCATAACTTTTTTTCTACTGGAGATATAAAGCTGAGATTTTCAGCGATTCTTATCCCAGTAGAGGACTTCAGTCACTGAAAATTTCAGTTCATTTGAAATTATAGTTCCAGAAATAAAATCGTGTTAGGCAAATTGGGATGATTTATCAATTTTTCTGAGTGCCTTTTTTCATAGAATTTGGCTCCAAATCGCAGAATAATTTAGTGTAAGGAGTTTGGGGGATCTCAAAGGATCATTGGGACACAAACTCTCAACAAAAAAAAAATTTGAAATTTCATCGTTTTAGTATCTTATGATTTAGATTTTGGAAAACTTTGGAAGGTCATAACTTTTTTTCTATTAGAGATAGAAAGGTGAAATTTTTAGCGATTCTTATGCCAGTATAGGACTACAATCCTGGAATATTTCAGCTCATATGGACTTATAGTTTCAGAAATAAAATCGCGATAAGCAATTTGGGGTGATTTATCAATTTTTCAAGTTTCCTAAATGCCTTTTTTCATAGAATCTGGCTCCAAATTTCAGAATGATTTAGTGTATGGAATTTGGGAGATCCCAAAGGATCATTAGGACACAAAAACTGAACAAAAAAAAAAAATTGAAATTTCATTGCTGCGGCTGCAATACTTTTCTAGAAGTAAACAATACTAAAATTTAGACCAATCACGAGATGATTAGAAAGATTCTCTACTATTTAATTGTCATAAAATAAGCTTTTTAATTCAGAGGAAATTGTTGTACCTACTCAATAATGAATTCATTACCAATCATCTTATGCGATTTTGAAAAAAAAAAAAATCTGACAACGTTTCATCAAAACTCCGCCGTTTTCAAAATCCTTCCCCAAATTATCAAACAAACTCCATCTTTAGCCCTCCGACTATCAATTTAGCTCTATCCAAATAAGAAATGATGCGAAATCCGCAACCGGACAGGCAAGCAAGCAGTCGAGGCCCCCTCTCCGAACGATGATGGCTTTTGAAAGTTTTGTTCGCGGTTGAAAGCACATTAGGATGGGCCATTTTTGTGGCGGTTATTGGAAGCAAGGGGCCGGAAGAGTTGCTATAAATGCGGATCGGAAAAAGGGAAGAAAACACACATCGCAACCCCTTAATGCTTTCTTTCAGGTGTCTAAGAGATTGATTGTATTCCTTGAAAATTTGCAATATTTGAAGGTACGTTTGTCCGGTAATTTCCAATTATTTGAGTGGCCCTCAAACGTTTTGATCTTTACCTTGCCATTGTCCTGGATCGTCTCAAAATCGGGACGGCAAACAGAAAGCACTAGAGTGAAAAAAGGACGAACACGTAATTGAAAAGATCTTCTATCAATAAAACTCTGGTTTTGCCTTACTAGAGAGTTTTTGTATTTGTTTTAAACTTAAACCTAAAATACATATTATAAATCGGCAAAGTGTAATAACCTTTAGAAATTCACTCTCCCTGACAGTTCTTGAGGGTGCGTGCTGACTTAACATTCTCTTTATACGCCAAAGTGGAAGTTATGTTAATCAAAAACTGAACGAATACCAAGGAATTTTTAAATATTTAAAACTCGTCAAATTATTATAGAATATTGTTTGCTATTATATAGTTTAGTTTCCCGGAAGTTAAACAGATGCATCACTTAGCTGCGGTTATCCGACGTCCAGAGTTCGCTCGGCCATTGAACAATAGCCTCCAATGTTACTTGAGTACATATTTAATTAGTTGGCTCGGTCATAAACTGACCAACTTTACTCTGCTACTGTGTAGCAGATAAATCATGGTAATTGTTTATTTAGCTGCGAGTTGGAATTTATACTGTTATATGGTTATGAAATTTAGAATTAAACTAAAATTACTTAAGAAATCAAATGGTGAAAATCGCAGTATCATGAGCATCTTTTTGAAATTCCTTTCAAAAGTAGTCTACCAAAGAATATGTGACAAGCATATATGCAGAAGTTTGGGGCAATTGGCTGAATGAAAATGGAATTAACATACCATTTAAAATAAATTGAGGTATACGCAAACGCTTTTACAATTTACTTTTCAAAAATGTTAAATAAAATCCTCAATTTTATTCATAATTCAATAATTCACGATATCCTTGAACAAACTGCAAATAGTGACGGGTATTAGGAACAATCCGTTATACCGAGAACCAATACACCGTACAGTCTGGTCGTCCATGGTTTCACGTTTCCGTCGAAACCTATTCCGGAAAAGCCCTGAAATTCCCCACGGACAGTTAAGCGAATAGCCCGGTTTCGACAAAGAAAATAGGAAGAAGAGGGAATTCCGACGATGCTTGGTTTTTTAATCTGGTAATGGAGTCGGACACATTCCGAAAGTAATATAATTGAACTTTGGGAAAACTCTTGTGAATATTTAATTAATTAAGATTATGATAGTGTAGGTATCGTTTCAAAGTCCCAGCCATCTATAAATCAATAGAGCCCTCCGAGCAATTTTGATCGCGCATAATTAACTATTCATTTTCGTTAATTCCGATTTCATGCGTTTAATTATGCTTACCAATGCAAATGAACTTTTTTTAATGCCAGGGTTTGCACTTGCAATAAAATTATTTACCGTGCGGAATTATTACAATTTCAAAAAATTATAAATCTCGTTTAATAATAATTAATTGAATTAAATTAATAATAATGCAAATATTATGTTTAATAAAGCTGTGCACCGGCAGACACTGGAGGCCTTATTATAAAAGCCAAAAAGTTTTGTCGTTGTAGGATTAAAAGCACCTATTAATATTTTATCAAGCATCTCATCTACTGTGCCCTGAGAGCCTTAAAATAAACAGGAATTCCATATTGTGTTTAGATCCAATGCGAAAATATCAATAACTCATTATTCAAGGCAGAAGATAAGTTTGCGTTCTTGAAATATGGAAATCTTCTACAGTTGAAATCAAATAAAGCGCTTTCAACATGCAAGTACAATAAAAAAAAAAAACGTCCAAGAATTTTGCAAAAGAAACGCTATAAAATCCTATCTTAAAGCTCTAGATCATTAAAGCTCACTTCACCTTTTTTTTTTTAGAAAAGCACTAAAAGAAACTGCAGAGATTAAGCTCGAGAGAGAGAAAAATCATTTAACCTTTACCGTTTTTTACATGAAGTAAATGGAGGATTTATCGAGCTTAAAAAGATATTTTAATTCTTCGAGAAATAGAAACTGTCTGTCATAAATTTCGAAATTGTGAAATTAAATCTTAAACATAATTACTTCAATCTTCTTCGTCTGACCAATATTTATCGAAGTTGAAAAACTGAGCCGAAAAGGCAATGATTTATTTATCTTTCCTTCGATCTCGATAAACTCTGGAAAGAAGACGGTTTAAGTTCGGTTTTAAAACAAAAATTTTCCAATCTCAAGAAAATCCCTCTGGAGGAAACTCATCCCATCAGCCCGATTGCTGTTTGGTC